TTTCACAATGACCTTCTCACCAAGCTGCAGTTTTACACCTATATCAATGCCTCCCCTCACCACCACTACCACAATCTATGAAATAAAGAAAATAAATGGCACAATTATGTCACCACAATCAGACACTCCTCTTATCGTCTTTATTCATCTTACAAGAGCTGCAGAAAGGACAATGGTGGCAGAGAAAGAGCTGTGCATATTTCTTATCTCCTAATCCTCCAGGCAGCCCCACGCAAGCACACATCACATCAGGCCCCGAGCGACTGCACCACTTTAAAAACACAACACGAGAGAAAGTCACCAGACATGACTTTTACCAACCTTGAAAAAAATAAACATTTTAATAGCACAAGGTAGATTGATTCCTCCATTGTGTGGCAGCACACCTCAGCTCTTCAATATAGCTTTAATAAATACAGAAAACGTAAGACAAAAATGCTTAAAACGAGTAACCTGCATAGAAACCCAGAAATAATTACACATTCGCACAGTACACTAGGCGTTTCCAGAAAAATTATTTGAATACAAATTTTACAGATCCCTGCAAGCAGTCATAATGAGCCACTACAAAGGTGTAAAAGTGAATTACAGGATAAATATTCTATAAACTATTTTAAAAAAAAACAACTCTGCCTTTGGTGTAGCTACAATTTTTATTTAATTTCTGCACTCTCAGATTGTTGGTATAGGCAATAAAACAGAAAGAAAATTACACATTAAAGACAAGATGCTTTAAATAAAGTTTAAGAAAAAGCAGTTTCTTCAATTCATTTATGCAAGAAATACAATTTGTCACAAGTGCTAATTAACATAGCTAGAAAAATTACGGCTACGTGGCAGTAAGCAGTTTGTTATAATTGGATGCAATCTATGAGCCACAAAGAGGTTTTCTTCCATAAAAGTCTCAAAAATGCTTTTTACTTTGGTATGATCGTTTTGACCTATATGAAATCTTGGTGGTAGGTTGTTAAACATTAATTATCATTATTATTGATCTGTTTTAGAAAGTGCAGGTCAGTTCCATGGCACAGTTCAGATATATAAACAGGTGCCATAGAGAACTGTGTGCAAATACAGAGGAACAAGGGATGGCACCAAAACTACCCCAAGACAGAAAGAAACATCATGCATCGCAGTAACAAGACTATAAATTGTTGATATAACTCCAGTACTTATCGTGATATGAAAATGATATTACCAGCTAGCCAAAATAAGCACTTACAATGAATTATCTGTGAAGCTTCAATACAATGTAGCCAGTATGATCACTCCATCTCCCCACACCTCCTATAACTCACACTACCTGAGCAGCACACTCATTGCAGCTCCCACACCTCATATAACCCACACTACCTGAGCAGCACACTCACTGCAGCTCCCACACCTCCTATAACCCAACTACCCGAGCAGCACACTCACTGCAGCTCCTCACACCTCCTATAACACACACTACCTGAGCAGCACACTCCCTGCAGCACCCCACACCTCCTATAACCCACACTACCTGAGCAACACACTCACTGCAGCTCCCCATACCTCCTATAACACACACTACCTGAGCAATATACTCACTGCAGCTCCCCACACCTCCTATAACATACAGTACCTGAGCAGCACTCTCACTGCAGCTCCCCACACCTCCTATAACACACACTACCTGAGCAACATGCTCACTGCAGCTCCCCACACCTCCTATAACCCACACTACCTGAGCAGCACACTCACTGCAGCTCCCCGCACCTCCTATAACCCACACTACCTGAGCAGCACACTCACTGCAGCTCCCCGCACCTCCTATAACCCACACTACCTGAGCAGCACACTCACTGCAGCTCCCCGCACCTCCTATAACCTACACTACCTGAGCAGCACACTCACTGCAGCTCCTCACACCTCCTATTACACACACTACCTGAGCAGCACGCTCACTGCAGCTCCCACACCTCCTATAACACACACTACCTGAGCAACACACTCACTGCAGCTTCCCACACCTCCTATAACCCACACTATGTGAGCAACACACTCACTGCAGCTCCCCGAACCTCCTTGCAGAACAAATAAATAAGTAAAATCAGGGCCAGTGCTACCTGTAAGGCGACCTAGGCGGCCGCCTAGGGCGCAACTTAGCAGGGGGAGCCGGCCCTGCTACTGCCTCCAACTCAAGTAAGAGTCAGACCTCAGGCTCAGACGGGCGCCGGTGGATGGCGGCGCCGCCGCCGGCAATTGATGCGCCGGCAAATCATGGGCGGGCAGATGCGAGGGAGGGAGGGAGGGCGGGCAGATGCGAGGGAGGGAGGGAGCGAGGGCGGGCAGATGCGAGGGAGGGAGGGAGCGAGGGCGGGCAGATGCGAGGGAGGGAGGGAGCGAGGGCGGGCGGCCGGTGCGGCACTCCTCCTCATGCTGTGCCGCCTGAGTGCTACAGAAAGCCTCAGACGGCACAGCCGCACAGCACAGTCCTGGAGGGTGGCCGGCCGCAGAGACGCGACCGCCCATGTGAGACCGCCCACGGGCCACGGCCCACCCCACGAGACCACCCATCATGCAACAGTGAAGGTGGGTGGTCTCTCGGGGTCAGGACAGGTCACACAGCACTGCAGTCAGCAGAGCCTCTACCGACCTCCATGATCCTCCATTGAGCACGCTTGAGGGGGGATTTTAAAGTGCCCACTTGAAGTCCTCCTGTAGTTGGTTCCTGCTTCCCCAGCCTCCAGAGCCTGTATTTGACCAGGAGCCAGACTGCAGCCAGAGATCATCCTTCTCTGTGGTAAGTAGAAAATCCAATATTTTTATTCTTTTGTAATATTTATTACATAACTATTTTTACTTCACATTAAAAGGACACTATAGTTCCAGAACCACTACAGTTTAATGTAGTGGTTCTGGTGTCTATAGCCTGTCGCTGCAGGCTTTTAACCCCTTAAGGACACATGACATGTGTGACATGTCATGATTCCCTTTTATTCCAGAAGTTTGGTCCTTAAGGGGTTAAAAGGTAAACACTGTCTATCTTTTCAGAGTAAAGATACTGTTTGCAGTACTGGTGTTAAAGGATCACTATAGTGTCAGGAAAACAAAGTGGTTTTCCTGACACTATAGTGCCCTGAGGGTGCCCCCACCCTCAGGGTCCCCCTCCCGTGGCGCTGAAAGGGGTTAAAACCCCTTCAGCAGCTTACCTTATTCCAGCGCCTCCCCTCCCCCTCAAGTGCCGCACGCGCATTCAAATTGTCCATAGGAATGCTTTCCTATGGACGCTCTGCGCGATGGAGGCATTAAATGCCTACAGCGTTGCAGATGCGCCTCTATTAAGGCTGTCCGGAAGATTTAACCGCAAATGTAATCATTGAGATGAAGTAGACGGGGTGACTATAGTGTCCCTTTAAGCGTCTCCACGCCCTGCGTGGAGGAGCTTAAAGGGACACTCCAGGCACCCAGACCACTTGTGCCAACTCCCACTACCCTTGACCCTGCAAGTGTAATTGCAGTTTTCATAAACTGCAATAGTTACCTTGCAGGGTTAAGTCCTCCTCTAGTATTAGACAGCCGCTAGAGGGACTTCCATGTTCTTATAACACGAAAAGTGTGTTTTACGACTCCAGCATCGCCGAAATCCCTATGGGGAGGTCTAATGCACGTGCGTGGCCATTGCCGTTCATGCGCATTAGGTCTCCCCCACTGGCTGACGTTGGCGAGGGAGAAGAGTAGGCAGAGTCTGCCCCTCGGCGCTGGACTCCGGTCAGCAACTTGGGGTGGGAGGGAGAGGGTTACTACAGGGTCCTGCAGTGCCAGGAAAACTAATATGTTTTCCTGGCACTGGAGAGTCCCTTTAACGTTCCCATATAGATGCATTGATTCATTGCATCTGTATGAGGAGATGCTTTTTGGTGCAGTGTTTTGCTGCACAGGCACAATAGCTTCCCAATGCAAAGGTTAATGATCTGTGTGGGGGAAAAACGTAATATCGCTTTATGACCACACACAGAGGTTGGGGGGGAGAGGGTGCTCTAATGTAACAGGATACAGGTGTATAGTGTTCCTGACGATATAGTGTTCCTTTAAGCTGCTCTCCACCTCCACTTCATCAACCGTGCCCACTCTTGCGTAATGCAGAGATCTTCTGGCTTTTGGCTGATGTAGTGAAGGTAGGGCCATATAAGGTAAGAAGTCAAACTGCTCTAATACGGTTTGACTACTTACATGGGGGGTGATGTCATGTCAGACCACTATGCTATGTAGTGGTAATGGTTCATAAAAAATGTCTCTTTAATGAAATGTACAATTTGAACTATGTTTTATTAGGTTCATTTCTAAAAGTTTGAATTTTTGGGAATCAAAGTGAATGTCACAGTAGCCAAATGGTGGGGTGGGGGAATGGGGATATTGGGGAACTGTAACATAGTGATGGATATCGCCATATGGTGTAACTGAATCCCAATTTTTTTTTTTGCTAGTAGTGGTGATTTTAAGTAGCTTCATAAAATTTAAAACTGGATTTATTTTGTGCACTGTTCCCTAATCTGTATTTTGAGGATGAAACATGGTCACTTCAGTAGCGTGCCAACAAGGGGCGATAGCAATAGTTCAGAGGGGGTACACACAGTAACTACCCATTTCATTTTGTTGCATGGACCCAGATAGAAGATTGAATTACTTTGTAATGTGACTGACCATGTATGACTGTAGGTGAATGTTTGTGACTGTGTGTAATTGTGTAATTATGTTGTGACGCTGTATGATTGTGTGTCTGTGCATGGGGGGTGCTAGCTCTCACTTGCCCTCTCCATTTTTAATTCTTCATGTTTACATCAACTGCTCTCATACATACACATATATTTTTGCGTCTTTCACACTCCCACACGTGCGCACATATGTACAGTAGGTTTCTAAATGATTTTCAGGTATTATTGTGGTTTAATGATCATCAAAGAGAATATTAATTGAATATTAATAATTTTTGATGTACATTTATTCTACAATAGTTTTTTTGATAATTGAACAAGATGTCTGCACCACGAAAGAAATTGTCTGGTGCTGCTTTTCGAAAGAAAAGAAGGCTCCAAGAAGAAGACACTTCTAAGATGGCTGGATCATTAAATAGGTTCTTTAAACCTGATCCAGTATTGAAAGCTGTAAGCGAGACTAAAGAGAATCGTGAAGCTGTAGATGTCGAACCGCACCCTTCTACTTCAACTACTACTGTGAGCGGACATTCTTTGGGCATAGAAAGTGATACAAACACCGAGGAAGAGAATTCACCGAAATCATCATCATCATCATCATCAGAAGATGAAAATGCAAAAAGCACGCTGGCAGACCTCTTTGATCCAGCTGACTGGCCTGAAATGCTTACTAGCTCTCTAAAAGAAACCATCGTTCTGAAAGGTCCGGCAAAGCCAAAAGAGCACTTTGCATTTCCTAAAGATGCATCCAAGAGACGGTTTACATCAACCCACTATAGACGGCGCTTGGAAATGGTGAAGTGCATGTTAGAAAGTGGCTTAGTTATTCTCCTAGACTGGACAAAATATTTTGCTTTTGTTGTAAACTCTTTACAACTACGAAAATGAGCCTGACTACGGGAGGCTACAATGATTGGAAAAATTTGTCCCAATGTCTGGCTACACATGAAGTGTCTCCATCTCACCTCACTGCTATGGGAAACTGGACAGAACTGTTAACAAGGCTTGGGTCTGGAAGTACTATTGACCATTCATACCAAAGATTATTGGCAACTGAAACGCAGCACTGGCAGAATGTTCTTCAGCGGCTTGTAGCCATTGTTCAATATCTTGGGAAGCAGTGCTTGGCCTTCAGGGGCAGCAGTGGCACGCTGTACTCTGAAAATAATGGAAATTACTTGAAACTTGTCGAAATGATGGCAACATTTGATAGTGTGATGCAAAGCCACTTGAAAAAGATACAGAATTCAGAAATTCATCAACATTATTTAGGAAAAGACATCCAAAATGAACTAATTGGTTTAATTTCAAAAGAAATACGGAGACGCATTCTACGGTTGCTTAAGGATGCCAAGTACTATTCCATTATACTTGACTGCACCCCTGACATCACTCTTGTTGAACAGATGACTATGGTTTTCAGGTTTGTATCTGTTAAGCAAGGAGACTCGCCAACTGCAAATCCTGAAATACACATTGAGGAAAGATTTCTTGGTTTCCTGCCAGTTCACAACTCATCTGGAGAAGGATTAACAGAGGCAATTTTGAATGAGCTTGAAATGCTGAAGATACCACTCAGTGATATGAGAGGTCAAGGGTATGATAATGGCTCCAACATGAAGGGAAAGCACTCAGGAGTACAAAAAAGAATAATGGACCTGAACTCACGTGCTTTCTATGTCCCCTGCAGGGCTCATTCATTAAATCTTGTAGTAAATGATGCTGCTATGTGCTGTAGGGATGCCAGTACATTTTTTGGCATTCTTCAGAAAATATATGTTTTTTTATCAGGTTCAACAAATCGATGGGATGTTCTAAAAAAGCATGTGAGTAAGCTGACAGTTAAGCCGTTATCCGATACTAGATGGTCAAGCAGAACTGATGCTATTTGGCCATTTAGGTTCCATGTTGGAGAAGTGTATGACACCTTAATTGAAATCGGAGGTGATATGAATTTTGCTGCTCTTGCAAGAATTGAGGCTTCATCCTTGGCAAAAGAGTTAAACAAGTTTAAATTCTTGTGTTTAATCATCCTTTGGTTTAACATACTAAGTCGAATTAATTCTGTCAGCAAAGTTCTTCAAAGCCAGTCCATTTACTTACCAGATGTTGTGGAACTTTTGGAATCAATCAAGACAATTTTTCAATCTTATCGGACAGATGATGGTTTTGAGGATTTACTTAAAGAAGCAGGAGAGCTAGCAGTGGAAATGGAAATAGACCCAGTGTTCCCCCCTCAAGTACATCAGACGAGGAAAAAAAAAAGGTTGTTTTTGTATGAGGTTCCAGATGACCCTATCTTAGAACCTAAAAATAAATTTAAAGTGGAATGTTTCTTCACAATATTAGACACAACAATAAAATCTGTACATGAAAGATATGAACAGCTTAAATTTCATTCCACGCATTTTCAATTTTTGTATGACATCCACAAGCTAAAAGATGTGCAAAAAGAAGAACTCCTGCAGTTCTGCATGGAATTGCAGAATGTCTTAACCAATGTAAAATCAAAGGAGTCTGATGTAGATGGAAGGCAACTGTGTGAAGAACTTGCTGTATTGGCTCCTGTTATAAAACCTACGATGACACCTGTTGATATTTTGGCCTATGCAGTGAGGAATGGATTTGCTCCAAATGTGGCAATTGCACTTCGAATTATGTTGACCTTACCAATCACTGTTGCCACAGGTGAGCGAAGCTTTTCGAAACTGAAAATTATAAAAAATTATCTTCGTTCTTCAATGTCCCAAGAACGGCTTGTGGGACTTGCCATGATAGCAATAGAAAATCGGACGGCACAGGAGATTAACTTTGAAACATTACTGAAGGACTTTGCGAATGCCAAAGCAAGAAAAGTTAAATTTAATTAGATAGAATAACTGTTAGAAAGTATTTAAGCTGTTTACAAAGTTGTTTAGCACTTAAATTGTATGCTGCATTTATGTATTTATTTTGCTATGTATTTGGGGTTCTTTGACCATACCATTTCTATTGTTGCACTTATATTATGCAAGTATGCCACTATAATATAAATGTGGCCATGTGTTTTTCTCTTAACAACTGTATGTTGTATTGCACTTTCAGAATGTTAATGTATTAAACTATTTAAATTTGCACTTTATTTTACATTGTTGCCTTTTGTGCAATTTGTCAGTGTCTTGAACCAAAAGGGAGGTGGGGCGTCAATTTTTATTTTGCCTAGGGCGGCATAAATCCTTGCACCGGCCCTGAGTAAAATCTATGGATTGTTAAAACATCTACCCCCACAGTATCATCAATCAAAAAACAGATGAAACCAATACTTATGTGCAATTATATTTGTGAATTTTGTACACATCATCCATGACCCATACACAGAAACTAGGGAAATCTAACCAGATATCATCCTGGTAAAACACTTCATAAACAAATGAATAATTTTTCAGCTGATAGAACAATCTGTATTATTACTGAAATGTGCATATTCACAAAGATTACTGGAGTTCTGCGTTAAGAGCAATTCTGTATCAGAGCTTTAAAAATGGAGTCCTCATTCTATTGGTCTCCATGGTGATAGCACACTTTTTAAAAGCTAGCTCCAAAATGAATTTGCACAATGGAATCACGACAGAACCCATCCAGTCTGTGCTATCCCAACATTTATAGCCCGTGATTGCATGATATAAGCATGCAGTGGGAGTTTACACAGTCTAAGTATCTGTATGATTAATTAGGAACTAAAAACTTTATTACAACACCTACGGCAGAGAGGGGTGAGCTTTGGGTACCAAGTAATTCCTATTTTAACAAAATGCCTAACATAACCACGGCACTCGTATGTTACAGTGTTATTTTATTACACATTATGGTTCTATTTCAATAAGCATTTTATTTTATTTTTTTATATATCTGATAACTTCCCCCCTCATTTGGGTAGCAAGCGCCCTTAAGTATTTGGTTGAGTATTTACTCACCTTTCACAGATTTTTTTTTTTTTTTTAACCACTACAATAAACTGTATAATATGGAGTATAATTATTTGCAGTAAGGCATGGTGGTTATGGTGCCCCTTTAACATGAGCCAATAGATCTATCTTTAAACTCAAGAGGTCTAGAAGGGTAAACCATACAGACACATATCTATGGCATACATCAATTTAACTGTACCTTACGCGTTCATTTTATGCACTTTTTAAATGCAAATAAAACCACCTCCACACTAGTAACCTTTTATGAGCCACGTTACTAGATAGAAAATCGTTTGACAATATAGACTGAAAATCGTTATTGAGAATTCATGATGGCAGCCATCCCTGCCATACATCAAATCGATAGCGAGTCTTATATTAAACTAGATTCTGGGAAACAGTATAATACCCAATGTAGGGTTCATAGGATTGGAGAATTCCTAGTCTTATGGTGCACAGTGCTAGGTGCTTTAACCCCAAATACACACAACAAATGTATTCATTAAGATTGTGCAAAAGAATTTGAAACCTATTTGCATCAGTATTTGCCAGTGGTGATGCCTGTCTTACAAGAGTATGTATCCTTGTATGGCAGGAGAATGGGTAGTGCTTGCTGCATTCCCTGGTAGGGAGGCCCAGGCCAATCAGTGAAGCTGATGACAATGGCTAAGACTATGAAGGTGCTCCGTATCCATTGGGAGTTAGCTAGGACAGAAAACAACATTGTGAAAGGTGACGGAAGCCAGAGAGCATAATATATTATTTTTGTTCATGCATCAATTAAAAAAAGTTAATTCCAAAATAAAAAAAATAAAAAAAATGTTTTCTGCTCTTCTGATGGGGAGTTATAGAGAAGTCCCGCATGACATTTCTTATTTGTGGACAAAATCTGCTTTTGTTTTTTTTAGATAATGTGTATAGAATTTGCCACTGGATTTTATTGGATTTTTGTATGTGACATTATTGCTGCAGCTCCAGCGCTTGTAGATGCTGGTTTATAGCCGGGCCAATTGGTCACACAGCTCGGTGTCGTTAATGTGTAAAAAAGTAGAAATCAATATTTAAAAAAAGTTCAGGAGGCAGGTTAAGCAGGAGCAGCAAGCTGTTTCTCTCATCATCGTAGGACATACAAACATTTGCAAAAAAACGATAAGTGTGAAAATCAATCCATACTTTGCATCAGATGGTTCAGGTTTCTAAAAAGGGAGAGGTGACCTGGATAATGAAGATTAAATAGTTCACAAGAATGTTTAAATGGCATTCTACGTGCGCTACAAATTCATGTTGTTTTGAAGACCTTTCACCAACAAAGACCATTCCAAAAATATATATATTTTTTTCATTACAGAACACATAATCTGTCAGAAAGGCTGTTTATTGTGTATCAATAAATCTTCCTGTGCTTCTAGAACAAGGATTGCTGGCCTTGGCAGTCCAGATGTTTGTCAACTACATTTAAGCTGATAATCTGCTAGTAAAAGCACAGCTGTCCCTGTGTCGCCTGTCCAAAATTGGTATGACACCAATCAACACTCCTTCTCAGTCATTTCCAAACTTTACGCCCAGACACAACCAAGCCTGCAGATAAGACAAAAGGTGAACTATTGTACCTGCTGGGAAAATCAGGTAATCAGAGCACAAATACAGCAATTTTCACTTACACTCCATACTGTTAAATAGTCTTAGAGTTCTCCATCCAAGAAAATGTGAATTTTCAATGGGAATAGAAGCCTTTAGCCACTTTAATCTGCTGTCTTGGGTCTGAGTCTCTAGTGTGGGTGGCTGTCGACGTGATTTATGCTTGTAGAAATTCAAGGAGAAGGAATATCTCCCCACAAATCCACACGTATCCCCTCACATATATTCTCGGATTCTGCTACAGTTCAGCAGAGATAAAATAAAGACAGAATGAAAAGAAAAAAAAAGAAAACACTAAACCTTTTTCAAGTCTTGAGAAAAATAAACGTGTGTAATACAAACAGTGCTGGGTAAAATTCATGTTATTGGGGGCGGGTCCTGACTACCAAGATGGCCAGACGTGTTTGTTACCAGCGTTAAACCTACACTTTCACTACTAAAATCGACTGACACTCTGGAGCAGATGGTGGAACAATACTAAAACGAGTGGGCACTCGAGGGTGTCCTTTATCTCTCAAGCAACATGGTCCCCCAAAGCACCACCAGTCATGTGGCGAACCTAAAATGGCTGCCGCTCCTCATCCTCAGGACTGAACAGTAATCAAGACATAGAGGGAGCGTTTTGACGCTCTCTGCCAACAGTTCTGGAGACGCATCTATCATCGACACTACACCCCTGCCGAATCAGGAAGACTAAAGGCTACAACGAACACCCGACCTTGTTCCAGACTGGGATCCCACCTGAAGAGATCCCCGAGCAACAGATCGGGCACACAGAGAGCTCCCCAAGATGTAGAGCGCCATCGGACCCGCTCTCATATAGCACAGAAGAGGAGAATCCCAAGCCACATGGCTGCTGATCAACATTCCCTCCAGGAGAAGTGGAGAGAGGACCCCTTACACAGAAGACTGTACACAGCAACCCGGCACATACCCTGGCTGGGACGGCAGGACAACAATAACCCAGCGACAAATTCTGGCAGCTTCCCACCATTAGGGATCGGATGAAAGGGGACTCATACATGATGGATGCCAACAAATCTACACTTACGCTGTAAAAGTGACCAGACAGTTTTATTTTGATTTCACCTGTTGCCTAACACTTTATGATTTTCCATGTCAATACTCCGTGTTTACTCCCTTAATTGACGACACCAGCGGTATAATGCTTATCATACTTAGTTATGCTTTCATGTAAATTTACTCAATCTACTATCTAGCTGTCAGCTATCAGCATGTTTATTATATCTTAAAAAGTGCATTTTTATCATGTGCCAAATAATTGTACCTCTTGAAATGCTTATGATTTTCACTATGGCAATACAAGTCTATATGTTTGTCAATCTCTTGCACGTCAAAAATAAAGAATAAAAAAAATCTTGTTATTAAATGAACACTAAAGGGTACACAAACATGTATTCCTGACCCTATAGTGTTAAAAGCACAATCTGCCCTCCCCCCACCCCCCCAGTCCCTCTTGCCTCCCTAAATATAGTAAAATCGTACTTGCATTTAAGTCTGGAGCTGTTAGCTCTGGCTCTGACCTGCCCCTCTCTGCCGACATCATCACAAGTGGTGGCCTGAGCCAATCACAATGCTTCCCCATAGGATTGGCTGACACTGTCAAGGAGGACGATCAGGGGTGGAGCCAGCACAATTTAAACACAGCCCTGGCCAATCAGCATGTCCTCATAGAGATGAATTGAATCAATGAATGTCTATGAGGAAAGTTCAGTGTCTGCCTGCAGAGGGAAGAGACACTGAATGTTTGGATGCATTTTAGGCAGCCATGACCCAGGAAGGATCTCTAACAGCCATCTGAGGAGTGGCCAGTGAAGTTATCACTAGGCTGTAATGTAAATACTGCATTTTCTCTGAAAAGACAGTGTTTACAGCAAAGAACCTGAAGGTAATGATTCTACTCACCAGAACAAATTCAATAAGCTGTAGTTGTGCTGGTGACTATAGTGTCCCTTTAAGAACAGCATGCACATTCACTGTGACAGATCCCATGGCACCCCAAAAATTTACACCAAAACAAACAACACAGTTACAGATTATTCCAATGGAGGGGAGAGGCTGGATAAACTGACATTTTACAATAACAACTGTAAAAGGAATACATTTGCCATAAAACACATATAATGATTTAAGGCCTGCTTAGTAAGCTGGCGTGGGTGAGACTTTATCCCTATAAAAGTTTGGGATCTCTATACATAAGGAACGGCCCTACCATGGGCACAGTGAACATCCCACGTTGCACTGGCACTGTTTGTATAAATGGCAAGGAGTTCATAAAGGAGTCAGGTGACTGAATACTAGTACATCCCTTTAAGGAGAGAAGGTGGGAGACTACATAGCCACTGATTCTAATATATATCACATGGAGTAGATGGGTAGGAAAAATGCTGCTGATCTCTTCTGGTTATAGTGTATCCCTGAGACTTATTTCATAAGCACATTGAATAAGCACATTGAACTCGAGAGCACACAATGGAATGAAATTAAACACAAATGAAATACTAAAATATATCCACTTTTACATTTTCAATTTACCACGCACTTTCAGATACATAGTTCCAACTTGAGAGTATCCTAGCACCGAGCACCAATTTCCCTTTCATATTACAAAATGTGTAAAGAATAACTGTTAAAATAGTATGAATGTTATGAACGAGATTAAATCAGTCGAATGATGTGTGAATGCATTAAATGCAAAGTTCAAATTCAAATGTACAACCTAGGCAGGAAAATTTATCTCTGGGTGAAAAACAACCATCTGTGACCTATATTTTTGTAAAATGTAACTCATGAAGAGGATGCTGGGAGTCAATCCTTCACCTCAGAAAATGGCCAGAAGTATTAGGTCATCACGGACTACAGTCGTCAACCTTTAAAGCAGCCTAAAACCGGATAGATCACTCATAATTAGCGATGACAGGGACAGAAATGTCAGGTTCTTGATTTCAAATTTTACCATCCAAGCTAATGGTCTAACAGCACCTCCGGTTAAATTGCAGCTGTAGCCAAGTTTTGTGTAAAGCAATTTATCAACCTTAGTTAGACGTCACTGGAAGTTGCAGAGATCGAAATAACATTTAATATGATTTGTGATTCTTTACATGTATTTAAAGGGACATGCATCACTTGGCAATTATTTTGCAATGCAAAATAGTTTTGTTTCCATTAAAATGGACATTGTAGGCAACAAATCAACTTTAGTTTAATGAAGCAGCTTTTCCAAAAAGTTCAGGGGTAGGCAACTTTTAGCACAGATCATGCTCCTGCAGTCACTACTCAGTTATCTGCCACTTAGGAGTTAAATCACTTTGTTTCTGTTTATGCAGCTCTAGCCGCACCTCCCCTGGCTGCAATGGACACAGCCTGCATAATGTGAGACCCCAAACATTCTAATAATTACTGTTATATGCATGACAACACATATAAGTAAACAATACAATAATATACTTAAATTGAAATAAAAACGTAAGCAATGACATCTATACGACATATAGTAGAGAGGGGAAAATCTCATAATATATCTTAATAATACTTACACTATTCAATAAATTATGTGCAAAATGATAACCCACAAATCATAAGAATGTTCATATCACGCAAAGCATTTCACAAAAGGAGTGTTGCTAGAGTATTCTTCAAAGTTTCAGGAAGTCAAGGTAAAAACACATTCTGTGTATCTCTACAAACCATCTATGTTTAGAACATGGGTTGGCAAACTGCGGCATGGTGGCTGTGCAATAATTTTTTTTTTAGGATCTTGACTAATGCAGCCCCCTTCCTATCAACTGTCCCAATGACCAACTGAATAAACTGCAATTTAACTCCGAGCACAGTCCCCATGGCATGCCCGCATTTTCCATTTTGGCTCCAATGGGAATAGTGACAGAACACGAGCGGAGAATTGGTTTAGGAACCCAAAACCCAGTTGTATTTTACTGAAACCTTGCAACTGCCAATTCGTCTTGTTAAGTCACTGTGTTACTGTGCTTCTTTAATTCTGATCCTTCTCAAACAAGATACAAAAAGTGCTATTCGAATCATCTCCCTCGTGTTAAGAAGGTACTCACTTGTTGAAGTTACTAAGGATGGATTAATACAATTTTAAATATGCCAAAATGACTAATTATAATGGATTGTATTTTCACCTGTGAGACATTTAAAATTTAAAGACTAAAAGCCAATGATGGAAAAAAAAGACCTCAAAGCAATAAGTTATGGTCGTATTCCACTGTTAAGGAAAAGCATTGGTCATTAAAGGACCACTATAGTGCCAGGAAAACATACTCGTTTTCCTGGCACTATAGTGCCCTGAGGGGAAAGAGTTAAATCTTACCCTTTTTCCACCGCCGGGCGGGGAGCTCTCCTCCTCCTCTCCGCCTCCGATCCTCCTCTTCGGCTGAATGCGCATGCGCAGCAGGAGCTGCGCGCGCATTCAGCCAGTCTCATAGGAAAGCATTTACAATGCTTTCCTATGGACGCTGGCTCCTTCTCACTGTGATTTTCACAGTGAGAAGCACGCAAACGCCTCTAGCGGCTGTCAATGAGACAGCCGCTAGAGGCTTTAGAGGCTGGATTAACCCATTCATAAACATAGCAGTTTCTCTGAAACTGCTATGTTTATTAAAAAAAAGGGTTAATCCTAGAGGGACCTGGCACTCAGACCAGTTCATTAAGCTGAAGTGGTCTGGGTGCCTAGAGTGGTCCTTTAACAGAATAAATAAATCATTTAAAAAAACAAGCAACAAAATATTCAATGTAAAAAGCACTGCATCACAGCTGAACAAAATAACTAATTAAGCAAACACAAAATCATTTAAAAAGAATTAAGAACTTTACATTTGGAATAGAAACAAAAATCAAAATGCCTGTTGTTGGGAACATATGCTTTCATAAAAAAGGTAATCACTAATTCAAAATAATGTAAACTCTGCGGTTTCGCTACATTAAATTACATTTGTTTGGAAACATCCTATTAAAGTCCCCATAGGTCCTTTATGTTTTGATTTGGCACACTTGGGATTGCGTCTGCACTCCCTGCTAGGCGAAGAGACGACTGCTCAGCTGTGCTCGTATTCCCAAGACAAAGATCTGAAATTAGTTGCAGTCTGTAGAAATCAGCAGTGAATTTCTTTAGACCCCCAAGGCATTAAAAGAAACAGGGTTTTCCTTGTACAAGATGCTATCTTGAGAGAGCAGGGAGCACAATACATGCAGATCGATCGATAACGCACAGCAGCACGCCAATCTTACAAGCACTGCAGCTTTTAGTCATGCCAAGGAAGCTGTTGGCACTGATACACAGGTGTTTTATTGGTGGGCTTAAAACGTAATTTAAGATTTCCTTTGAAAACATTCAGCTTCTTTTAATATCCTTAAATATGTAATGCTCTGCCTAATGCATATTGTAAAATGACGGCGCTTTACAGATTTAAGAATATGTAGACTAAGATGCACATTTGGCATGTCCTGTCCTTTCAATAATGGTACTTTTTTCACAGCGGGAATAAAATCGGTGATGTAGATGACCTTTACACAGTTTGTTTTGATATACTTCCATGGTGTGCGTCCATAGAAGACAGCAGCTTTTTTTTGCCAGAGGCTAAATCAGTTGCCTGGACTAATATCAAGTAATTAGTGACAATCAGACCTTTATACATACAGCGACAGAGAGATTAAACATTGGCCGTATGAAAGAGGGAGTTGGCTAATTAGTCAGAGTATACTTACACATCACCACGGAGCTTAAAAGAATACTTCTTGCACCATAACCACTACAGCCCATAGAAGCCTTGGCGTCCTCCCTGAGTAAGTTACTAAACCATTTGAAAATGATTTGACAAATTGCGTGGGGTACCAAGTATAATTAGCTTAGTACACCAGGTTATGCAATGGCACGTCTGCCCAAGGTAATTAATAAATAAAAGGTGCCAGTAAAGGTATAAGTTATTTAATAAGTTGTAGTTCATTTAATATACTGGGCACTGTCA